GATCTTCTAATTCTTGTATGAGTTCAGTACTAATTTTGATTTTAATCCTAAGTTTATCTTCTAAGGGCAAAAAGTTTTGATTTTTTAAATTTCTTTTATGGACAATATTTTCCTAATATTTCTACTCAGGTTGCTCTCATTTTATTCTAAAATTCTTTTTCTTTGGTAAAAACTATTTTTAGGCAATGTTTGTTTTCATTACATGTACTCCCACCTTGAAGCTAAGCCTCGTTTAACATAGTATATTTTTATTTTCGAAATTTTACCTTTCCCTTTCTACTTACAATTTGCCCTCCAACGCTTAACCACGGCTCACACGGGCTCTTCAGCTAAGGTCACTCAGTAATAAAATAGAAAATAGAAGATACTACGAAGGTTCAAAGCATGTAATATTAAAGAGCAAACAAGCATTCCATAAACTTAGTTTTTCCAAAAAGAAAATAAATTTTTAGAATAGAAAAGTTACCCTTTTGAAATAATTAAGGAAAAAGAGAACTACTCATACTTCATATTAATAAGAAATATACTTACAAAGATTATATTGCAGACTCTGGAATTCTGAAAAACTTAATACAAGTAGAGGTTTTTGAGAGGGTTGGAGATTTTTACAATGCAGAGTGAAGGGGTGTTTTTTCATTCTGCCTTCTCCGTTGGCAAGCATGCCAATTTATACATAAAGTTGAGTTGAAACAATCCAAAAAATCTTTCGTCAAAAGTTCTGGAAAAGAAAACAAAAAAGTCTAAAGGCTATTTTACCTAGACCATAGACTCCTACATAGACTACCTAGATTCATACAATAATATCTATGCCATAAATGCATAGATTTGGACGTAAGTTATTATTACGGATAAAATCTTATTAATAAAGGATTAGGATAATGATATCGGGTACTGCTTTGAGCCCCATCGCATATCATTCAATCCTCTTTTTTTGACAAAATTTTGACACTATAATTTATTACAAGACACGTATAAAGATTTTCACAGCTTTTCTTTAATAAAGCAGGATAAGAAATATCCACTTTATTAAAGTAGTGAGTGAAGGAAAATTCTTATCACTAACAGACTCAAATAATTACAGACACAAAATATTTACAAAATCTTTTTTGTCTTTTCTTGGCGTGCATTTTTCTGATATCTGAGGAGAATCCTTATCTTCTATGGATTTTGTCTTCTTTTGCTGGAGCGCCAATTATTGACGTCGACCCTTGGAGTGATTCTTCAAAGTTGAGTCTTTGTGGAAAATTTTCAAAATGTAAAGAGTCAAGAAATAATCTACTACAACATGTTCAAAATATATTATGAGTCTTGTAGTGGGACCCCCTGTTTTTTTTTTTTTTTTTAGAATTAATAATAATTATTTTGGTTCAAATTATGAAAATTACTGTTGTATGTCAATTAATCTTCATCTTCATTTTGTATTTTTAATTCACTCATTTTTTCTCAAATCACTAGTTTCAAATTGTCAAAATGTTGCTAACTTGTCAATATTATTTGAATTTTAATTAGACGTCTCCCAAAAATGATTATCTCTTCTTATCCCAAGATTTATTCAATTCCAATTAAACATACAACAAACAATTCTTATTCCTATCAAATAATTTATCTTATTTTTTGGGATTAAGTTTCTCTTAAATTTAAATTTGAATTTAAAAAAACTTGAGAGGTTTGTTGGGCACCTTGAGTCTAGGTTCAATAATTTGAACCGTTTATCAACTCCGCTGTGTAGCTCGAATTATCAACGGCTCGAATTGTCCGAAATCTCAAAACTACGTCGTTTTGGTTTTTTTTCTTTTTTCTTTTTTCCTTCTCGTTTGTCGGAAGAAGAAGAAGATCACTGGTGAACATCATCATCATCAGCCAATATTTTTTTTTCCCCCTCCTTCACCTTCAGGTCTAGATCTACTAGGAAAAAAAAAAAAAATCAACAACAAAATCTTCATTAGCACATCCTCATCAACAACAACAACATCTTCATCAACATCACCATCACCATCACCATCATCAACACATCATCTTCATCTTCAGAGCCAAGAAAAAAAAAAGAGAGAGAGAGAGAGAGAAAACAGAAATCGCAAGGTCACCGTCGCACCCTCCCTCCATCACTGTCCACCGTCGCACCCTCCATCACCGTCGCCCCGCCCCGCCATCGTCGTCGCCTTTCTTTCTCTATTTCCGTCTCTCTTCTCTCCTCCTCTCTCTTTCTCTCTTGCCCTCCCCCTCTGTTCAGATATAAACAAGAAAAAAAAAATTGCCAAAACGACGTCGTTTTGGCATTCGGGGGATTCGAGCTGTTGTAATTTCGAGCTCTCACGCATTTTCCACTGTTTATTTTGCGAAACCCTCAGTGAATATCATTAATGAAAAAAAAAATTAAATCAATCCAATAATTATAACATTTTCATTTCTGCAAAATTTTATAAATATGTTTTTAAAAATAAATTATTCATCTTTTTTAGACCAACACGATAAAACAAAAACATTACAATTATCAAATTAACTTAATTTTTTTTACAACTATGCTACATTCCACCAATATAGCACCCCTAATCTACCTCTAATGACGTGGAAGATGGAGACAACAGAGAGATATAGAGAGAGAGTAGTGTGGGTCCACCCTTTAACATGGTCCATTTTATGTTATTAGGAGTGAATTGGTGGAGTTAAATTAGTGCTCTCAAGTATTTTTCAAAAATTAATATAAAATTCAGATCTCGTTTGTCAATTATATATTTGAATAAAAAAGTTACTATAAATTATCACATCACTCTTTCTATTTTCTTACATATCTTTTTATAAAAAATCAAAAAATTATTAAAATAATATATCCCCTAATGAGACCTCATAAATATATACACAATGAGAAATCGATTTCAGTGCCAGAAATTAGACTTTTGCTAGCTTTAAATTTTGTAGGCAAGTTGGCAATTTCCAATAGCAGTATTCTAAAATTCACTTGATGTTGATTTTAAATTCAATATACATGTTAATATTCCTCTTTATTTTTATTTTCATTTTTTTTGCAAACAACAATAGATTCTAGCTTGCAAAATAAAACAAAGGCAAATCCTCTGTTTGATTAATTTAAAAAATTTCAAAACTTAGTTTTGTGAAAAAAAAAAAAAATAGATATACACTTTTAGTATTTATTTTTGTCAAATTAATTTTTAAATTTTTTATTATAAATTTTTTTTTAAAAAAGTAATGAAAAAAAAAATTACTCTAACATCTCTCTCCAACTTTTAGTAATGGCAGAGGTTCACAATATATATATATATATATATTTTTAACTTAAAGTCCCTCACCCACACTCATATATCACACCGTATTTTCTTTCTCTGTCTCTCTTTCTCTCTATACATCTGTGAATTTTGTTCCACACTGTAAATTTTTTATTAGGACTCTCTCTCTCTATATATATATATATAAAAGAAGGATTGATGTTTGTGGTGGTGTTTCGAGAAGAATCGGCTAAAAGATTAGTCCAACACACGGTTTGTGCTTGAAAAATGTAAGAAACTAGGTATGGTAGTAGATGATATCTCTGCTATGTATCTCTTCTTCTACAATTCAACATCCTCACGCTTCCATAGTTGTTTGTGTATTTTTTTCTCTTAGCTCTAGTGTACTTAATATGAATATAAAGTTGAATGACAAATATATTGGTGACCATGTCCCTGTTTTCTGTACGAACGATATATATATATTTGTAAAATATATATTTGCATCACTTGTTAAATTACTTCCCTTATAGAGAGAAGAATTAAATGGTTGACAATAAACTATTCTATTTTTTTCTTCTCTCTCTTCTTTGTATAATACACAGCGAAATTTTCTCAAACCATATAAATTTTCAGAACACAAAGAAAATCAAAGAAATTTCTCTAAGTTGGATTAGAATTTCTCTGAATCAGGCGAAATTTCTCTAAGTTTGGGCCAAAATTTTGATTGATTTTCTCTGGCATTTGAATTTTTCCTGACTCATCAAATTATGTTGCTTGTTTGATTTTCACTAGTTAATTGTATCCTTGTGTGTAATTTTCCTCTTGAGATGAATTTTCTTTGGCATTACAATTTTTTTAAACACGTTGGATTCACTTTACTCTATGTGCCTTGTTTAATTTTCTATGGCTAGCTGTCTCTTTGATTTTTTCTCCTATTTTCTTTGGCATTTTAATTTTCCCTGACCACATTAAACTCCCACTAATTTGTGTTGTTTATTTGATTTTCACTGGTTAGTTTTTCCTTGAGCTAAATTTTCTCTGACATTTGAATTTTTCCAGAAAACATTAACTCTCACTAATTTAGGTTATTTGTTTGATTTCACAGATTAGTTGTCTCACTGTGTGTAATTTTTCCTTTGAGATTAATTTTATCTGGCACTAAGATATCCCCTTTAGATTAATTTTCTTTGAACACAGTTGACTCTCTTTCTCTCTATGCCTTACTTGATTTTTTCTGGTTAGTTGTGTCTTTGATTTTCTCTCGAATTTTCTTTGGCATTTGAATTTTTCCTTCCCACATTAAACTCCCACTAATTTATATTGCTTGTTTGATTTTCACTAAATTTCTAACTTCGAATTTTATTTTTGATCTTTTAGAATGCGTAAATTTTGTAAAAATTATAGAAAAATTGATTTGTAAGCAGCTCAATTTTCTTTGTAATTTTCTTTGATTTGTTCAAAACACAGAAAAAGTTGTAAGCAAATCAAACAAAAATTGGTCAAAACACAGAAATTTGTGAGCAAATCAGAAAAATTTCAATCCAAACAAATTTATCTGTGTTTCAAAAATTTTCTGGATCGAAATTTCTCAATAAAAATTTCAAAGACCCCAACTATTATGAAAATATTTCATATTTTTTACGCTATAAAATCTTAATACGAGAGACCATAAAAAAAATCTAATTATGAAAACTTAGCTCAAACAACTGTAAAAAGAAAGATTAAAAAATAAATAAATAAATAAAATAGAATCAAGCATATAATAACACCAAATAATTCTTGAACCCAAATTTGCTAGCTCGCTGCTGAGAAATCTGAACCTCAACCCATCAAAAAGCAAACGAGAGGGACTAAAAGAGAGGCATACCAAGATAAATTAACTTTCCCGCCTCTACCAATGCAAGATTTTCTTAGCAACCAAACACTGGCGACACCCAATTTCCAACTCCTAAAACAGCAAAACTATTTTTGGCATTTCCTAGATTTCAACTTCAGCCAACAAACTAAAATCTCACACATTCACCATCAGAAAGGGTACTATAATCTTACAATAATATCATATTAAGTTCCATATAGCCAGATACTGTTCACAAGGCATCCCAAAAAAGGAGAGGACTTGAAAGGGAAAAAGAAAAAAAACCTACAGATGCTTGCACCGGGAGAAATTATCCGATGAACCAGTCCAGCATGTCCCCCAAAACTTTCTCGAGTAAACTTAAATTAGTGAACTACATATATGGTTGGTGTGAAGACTGCATTCCAGTACCCAAATAACTGCCATAATTGGATGGAGCGCTATTATATGTAGATGCAGCGACCCTGTCATCTGGGGGATAGTAGTATGACCTTTGATCATAAGCTTGCTGAGCGTATGTTGGCTGGCTAGGAGTTTGGTAATCAAGGGTGGTGGTTGGAAGAGCATGTGGATACCTCTCTGATATTCCCGCATACATTGTTCTCCCACCAAAAACTGACACACCCTGTCCAACACTAGGGGCAGGAGTGGGAGCGGGAGCAGGAACAGGAGCGGGAGTGCGAGGAGTAGCACCAGGTACACGGAACCCGTGAAATCCTCCATTTGCTCGTGGCTTCTTATGTTGCAGGGGTTTAGCAGATTCCGCAGACCTCTTCCTATCATGTGATGGCCTATCTAGCTGGGCAACCCTTTTCTGAAGTGGAGCAAGTGGGTAGTCGGTCTCAAGATTGTATTGTTCAACACAACCGATAACGGCCCTAAGTGCTGCGAGTTCTTGAGCATTCTGCATAGGAAAGTATCAGTAAAATGTGTTACAAAACAGAAGTGTCAAGGAAGCTTTAACTAGGGCACATGAAGTACCAGTGCACCAGCAGCGTTTCCGAAGCTACCAGGCTTTCCTTGTGAGTTCCTCCTCAAATCCTTCAGATATGTCTTCAGGAGGGGCGCAGGAGGGAAGCTTTCAGTAAGCTGAAAGGCATGGATAAAATGCACGGCATCGATTTGTTTCCCACAGTTGATCAATGCTTCGATAACAACTACAAAAAAACAGGATCATGATGAGAAAATTCCAAATCCAATTAGAGGTATACGCCTTGAAAATTGTGACAATGGCAATAGATTTTTGCAACTCATGTTTGTCCAACAAATAAATATACTACAAAACCTAACAGGATCGGTTGACTGTGCACCCTTGACAAAAAGATGGTCGAGTCTCCGGAGTTCCGGAACCCATCAGGTCAGTCAATTCAAAGAAAACCAACCTGGTATTTTGTGTGTTAATCCAAGAGAACGGCAGAGCTCAGGTGCCCGCCTCTGGTGAGCAACTGCAAGGACAAGTTTGCAGAGTTCGTCTTCGTCAAACTCTGACAGAATCCTAAAAGTAGCAAGGAGCTGCAAGAATGCCTCAGCTTCCAATGATTTTCCATTGGCAGCATTGATGCCCATACCAGCCAACTTAGGCTTCCACTCATCGGCAATGGCCTTGGCTTGCTGCTTAATTTCAGGGTTCAAAAGGTGATCGGCACCCGGGTCAGCCCTTGCCATTAAGGCGGCCATGGCTTTCATAAACATCAGACAAGATCGACGCATGCCCTGATGGGCAGCGTCCTTTTTATCCCCTTCTTGGGTAGTGTCATCGGGAGGGTAGAACCCCTCCAGTGAAGCCAGAATTAAATGACCCGGTTCGGTTGCACTTTCAAGTGCGACAGAAAGTTCCGCAGAAATGGCGGGCATGTTTTTTTGGTTCAACATCGTGTAATTCAGAAGCCCTTTTGCATCCATCTCCTCGCAAAATTGTGTCAGCTCTGGACGAGGCTTAACCTCGCCAGCCACAGTTTCGGCATTTTCAACTGTTCTATTTGGGGAATTCTCCTCCGGGGCATCAAGGATTGCATTTGTATCACCAAGAGAGCTACTTACCTTAGTTTCTTTGTCGTCCCCACCATCAACTGGCTCCAAAGGTTCTGGCATGTGATTGGCCCATGCCTCTGCAATGGCAGCAACAGCAGCGTCTTTTAGCTCCTGTATACGATCCAACAAATCTTGCTCTTTAGCAGCAACAGCACCCTCTCTGTCAGCAAGCATTGTGCAAGTCTTGGATTCTTTTTCTTTAAACTCCTTCTCCCTAACTTCAAATTCTTCAATTTTTTTCTTCATCATTGACTCAAGATGGGAAAAATATTCTTCAATTTCCAACCACTGAACATTATCCTCGGCAGCACCTTTGTGAGCTTCCAGTTCAATGAATGCCTTGCCAAGCTGTTCCATGAGAGAAGTTGCAGACATTCCCACAACTTGATCCTTTTCCGCCATGACTATGCAAATGGTTGAAGAGCTGCACAAAAGATTCTAGACAAATGCATTGAGAGAGAGAGAGAGAGAGAGAGCAGCAAGAGAAGAGGGAGGAGGGGGGCACATGCACAAAATATCTGTTATGGAAAATTATTCCCAAAAAACCAAGCCTTAAACATACAAAGGCTAAGAAAATCCCCCAAAAAAAAAAAAGATGTAAAAGAATTATTCCCAAAATTAATGAGTTGCAAAAATAAAGGTAAAAATCAACTCTTAAGTTCTAAATAATTGGCTAAACTCTGGTTCCTAAAATATATAAGCATTCTTCCATCACAATCCCCATCATATATATTTAAGCCATCCATGCTTTAAAACGACACCCTTTTTACCCTAAATTGCTTCATATCATATAATATTTTCAATAAACAAATCCCATGTCACCCAAAGTTCTAAAAGATCCTAAGCAGCAAAATTATCAAATAAAACTCTAAATAATATAAGAGGAAGACCAGAGTAGGCAAACCAAATGGGACTTTAGTGAACTGCATCCAAAGGCAGAGCATCACCTTAAATAATTTTGTTTAGCATTCCAGTAAGACTTTTTGTTATTACAGTCCAGAAAAGTAGAGGAGATAACAGCAAATAAAATAAAATAAAAATCTAATTAGCGGTGGTCAATGAATTTAATAAGTACTTCTTTTAAAGGAGAAAAGTAAACTTACTAGACGCAAAGACTAGCAAGAAAAGAGTGATATTGGCTTCCTACTTATGCCATCAAAATCAGTTATTCAGTATGACTATTCAATTTTCAACCACCCCTGATATCATCACACTTTGCTACCAAAGGAATCACCAGCAACACCACTGCTGCAGTGCCACAAAAGCATATTACCTCACAACAAACACCATGCTAAAAATGGCATCAGCCCCTACCACCATCAAAGGCACTGTTCATAACCAACCACAATAATCATACAAAATCCACTCCACTAACATCTATTATACAGCCATTGCCTCCAAAACCACAGCTCACCATCACAGCCAACCCTATTACTACTCTATCAATGCTTTTTCATCACCACACCATTGCAATTTTCCAGTGTTATGTGGCATAACAGCTTACAAACGCATTCTCCAGTATTCCCCATCATTCTGGATTTTTGCCCAAGCATTTTATTTTTTATTTTTTAAAGGAACGGGCTTACGACATCAATCTTGGAAAGAAAAGAAAAGAAAAGAAAATGAAATAAAAGAAAAACCACCGACTAGAACTGATTTGTTTGAAATCTTAAGTCATTTTCTCCTTCTTTCTAATTTTTCAATTAATCACAAGCATACATGGTAAAACAGATAAAACTATAACCAATATTCCTAAATTAGTCCAGCATATTATTCTTCTTTACTTTACAGCCATTATCTCCTAACCTTTCACCCATTTTGGCCAAACTGTTTTTAGACCGTTAAAACCATTTTTCAATAAGATTTTAGCCATGTATAAATCCAATCATTTCTGTGATATTCAAACTCACTTTTCAATAAAAAAAAATGTTGCATTTTTTCGGTAACCGAGCAAAGACAAAGCGGGAATGAATGGAGAGGAAGAGAACACCTATTTTCTCTTCAAAATTGGCTTAACCGTACAAAATAGGAGCTCAGTTGTAGCACTGCTGGATTCAAAGATTTTGATCTTGTTTAAAAAAATCGGAGAGAATAGAAGAAAGCCCGTCTAGCTCAGTTGGTAGAGCACAAGGCTCTTAACCTTGTGGTTGTGGGTTCGAGCCACATCAGAGTTCAAATCATAATCTAGGTCTTCTTCATAATCTTCCCAAAATTTTCCCCAAAAATGCCAAATTATAGATTATTAAGATACAACGAATTTGTGATTGATGAATCTGTAACAGTGCTCAAAAAATACCACACTCTGTATACCAGTTATCAACCATTCCATGATATAAACAACATTGTTCCCAATGTATTGAAATTTTAACCATAACAACTGGCCTTGTATTAACTGTAAGACAACACAAGCACACACTATTAACAATGGTCCTAATTCAGCTAAAAATAGCATGCTTCCAGACCACACTGGTGATAATACTATTTACCTCCTGGATCCAAGTACCCTATTTATTCAATATCAGTCAATAACATGAGGAAACCAATATGCCTGTTATTCAAGCACCAAACCACTTGAGTCTGTGCACATGAGCTTCAGAAGTGAGAAGCCTCCATCAGTTCATTGTTTTCATGTATTTACCAGAAACAAGTTCACCCAAAATGACAAATATAAAACACCCATCAAAACAAGTTCTGGCCTTTTCATTATCATCACCTTTATTTCTCCACATTAGTCAACCATTGTGGGCCTTTTGCACCCATTAATCATTGTTACTGCACCCAACTTAGTCGTTTCCCCCTCTCTCTCATACAAATTATATATATATTGATAAATACAATTTACATACTATCTTATACAAAATTATAAAGCAATAGTATTCACACTATTTTAAACTTTACATTCTCTTTTTGTCATTTAATCTCTCACAAAGGGAGTGTAAGAGATATAAGTGAAGTATAATTGTCATCACTTATTTTATAACATATGATATATTTGGCAACCGCTAGTTTTATATAGGCATCTTAGAGCATCTCTAGCCAAACTCTCAAATTTATAGATGTCAATTTTCTTTCGAAGACTTAGGTGGCAATCTGGCATCTTCAAAATTGACATTTACGAAGATAAGCAAGTCTCCAACCAATGTGTCAAATTTACTATTTTAAAATTTCATTTATTTTAGTTTGTGCTTTTATTTTTTGGACAAAACCCACTTAATGTGGCTGCCCCATAACAATAATAATAATAATTGACATCTCTCCCTCCCACACGTCAACTTTGTCACGGGGATGGCAATGCCAAATGCAACCTAGACAAAGGACATTTTGGTTGGAACTTGTACAGATGTCAAATATTGCACTTTAGGTTGCAACCAAAGATTTGAAATATTGGTTGTATATGCTCTTGCCATCACAATATGTTTATTTTAAAATTTATATAAAAAAATGAACCAATTTCAACTTTTTTTGCAAACTACGTGAAAGCGTGGTTAATAAACACGTTTTCTTCAAAGAATGTTTAATATAATTGCTAACAACGTATTAATAAAATACGTTATACGCTGTTAGCAATCAGACTTTCTTTACACTTTGATTTTTAACAAACTTCTATTCTATATCTAACTTCAAAACACTTTTAAAAAACGTATTTAGTAACCACACATTTACATAGTTTGAAAAATAAGTTAAAAAAGAGTCTACTTTTTAAATAACTTAAAAAAATGTGCATTATAGTAATAGACCGTTTACGTATGTGTAATCCATCACTTATTTGTTTGTTCAAATTCTGAAAACATATTACACTAGTTTAGGAATTTTGCGGGTTCAATTGTGAATTTTTTTGGTTGAATTATTATTGGGTGTTTTTATTCATTTTCACATCCACACAACAGTGCTTTAGTTACTTTATGATGTATCAAGTTTGCATGCCACATAAACCAAAAAAAAATATCTGGAGCCGCCACTGGGTGTTGCTAGGAAGAGCTAGGATCCTGATCACTCGTTTGGATTGCCAAAAAGGAGAGAAATAAGGAGAAATGGAAGAAAATAGAGAGAAAATGTTCTCTTGTAACCCACTGCTCTCCAAAATCAGAGAGATTGGGAGAGAAAAGAAACAAATAATTACTAGTTTTACATAATACCAAATATGTCAATCTAAAACTAAAGAAATAAAAACATAAAAAGTTATTTTGTTAATATAACCCATAAAAATTTCTTTTCTTTTCTTTTCTTTTCTTTTATATTAATTTATTCAAATAAGATTGGATAGAAATTTCTCTCCAACTTAACCAAACAAACAAGATGGAGAGAAAACCCAATTTTTTCTTCTCTTTTCTTTTCTTAAAAAATCATTCCTTTTCTTTTTATCTCCTAGATTCCCAAACCTAGTATAAAAATACAGTATGACCTAAAGTGTGTAAATCTTCCTCATAGGAAACAAGTACTCAAACCACAATGTTCAATTTCCCTCGCTCAACAATCAAACAAGGCATTGCAAAGAAAAATAGCGCAAACAAGGCATTACAGAGCACAAACAACCACAGGGCTTGCAGAGAAAGTAGAAAACCCTAACCAATGCAAAGTAGGAGAGAAAACAATATATATATATATATATATATGTAGATATAGCATACCTCGATATGTGCAAACAATCTTCAGCTAAGAGGAGCACAAAAAAACCCTAGAAATTCTGTTCTTAGAGAGAATTCGTCTTCGTCGCAAAAGAATTCTCCGAGGGAAGAAGAGTGTGAAAACGATGATGATAAAGCAAAGCGATAAGGTGAAAATATTTCTGGAGCTTATATAGACTGAAGAATGAATCACAAAATGAACGGTCGGCCCAATTTGGTTGTTATATGTGTAGCAAATTAGGCCCATGGGTCAGATGCAAATTATCAACTTTTGATTAGTGTGAGTTTATATATAATAAATGGGCAATGATTGGTGGGCACAAATTCTGTGGCTTAAATGGCCCGAACATATCAAAACGATGTCGTTTTGGGTACAAAACAACTCTGAAAATGTCAAAACGACGTCGTTTTAACATTTTCGGACCATTTGAACCACAGAATTTGTGGCTACCAAACATTTTTCATAATAAATTTTGTTTGGTATCTATTAAATTTTTTTAATCATATGCTTAGTTTATTTGTATATATTAAAAGGGTTATTCTATAAACTTTAATTAAAAAAATTGTCACAAAGCACAAATTTAGTGGACTCACTTCACTTTTAATTTTTTTTTTTTTTTTTGTGAGACTTTTTCATATTAAAAATATTTAATGTTTTGAATATGTTTATATTTGAGAATTATTTGTAATATTTGGAGAAGAAAAAAGTCAAGAATTATTGAAATTTGTGGGATAAATTCGGATTTTGTTTGTTAGTTTGATACAAATCTTTTGATAAATTCAAAAGAATTTTAAAAATTGAAGCCATAATATTCTATAAACTGAGTGGATGGCCCTATCGTACTCCCACAAACCATAGTCTATGTCTGATTATAGTCGTTACATTTTATTGGAAAGTCATGTTCCAACAATTTCATTTTATTTTATTTTATTTTTTATTTTTAAGAAGAACACAGCATAAACATATAAAAACAAAAGTTAGACAATGTACATGGTTAGCCAGCTATGAAATATGCGTATGAATATAAGTATCAGTACTGGTATGATATATGTCGATATAGTAAAATTAAAAAAAAAGAAAAAGGTATAAGTACGATTTAATACGTTTATAAAAAAAATATTTATTTTTAATTTAAAGTAATACAAAAATTAATTAAACGCTTTAATTTGTTAAGGTCCAACCTACAGTTGCGGTTGTTTGGGATGTCATAAATAAGTGTATTTTTTGACTTGTTAGACTAAAAAGTTGAGAAAAAAAATATGATTGTTTGGGTTAACTTTTTGACTTTTTATAAAAAATATGTATTAAAAAATTGTATAAATTAATGTGCAGGAGAAGATTTGTTTTTGGGTTGTACGGCTGTCCTTTATGCATAGTTGAATAGATGGTAATTAGTCTCGCATTTTAGTTTTACCCAAAAAAAAAAAAAAATAGATGGTAAGAAATAATTGTCTACTTTTCAGGTATTTCATTAGACGGTGCTTTTCGGTTGGTGGGGGCTATCACAGGTCCCGTTTTGATAATCTCAACCGTTCAATGTGTAGCACTCGTCGAGTACTATATGCTTATAAAAAATCACATTGATCGGATATCGATAGCTATCTGATTAGATTTATTTTTTTTCAACCGTTAACTATAACACCATCATTTTTTTATACAAAACTGATTGATGATATAGTTATCGATATCCGATTAACGTGATATTTTACAAACATGTAGTACTCGACGAGTTGTACACATTGAACGGTTCAGATTATTAAAAGGAGACTTGTGATGGACCCCCACGGGCCGAACAATAGTTTGTTAAAATCGCACCCCAACTGAGCAATTTTCCTGAACCGCAGCACAGATGTGACTTGGTGAGTTGATGAGTTGTATTATTGTGATTAATGAGTTGTATTTTTGTGTGTAAAATTAATTTTTTAATTTTTTTTGGTGAATAGTGATAATTTTTAAGGGTTCGTTTGGTTTGTATTTCTGAAAAATTTTTGAAAAATTTTCTCTACAAATAAGTTTTTAAAAGAAATCAAACCAAACAAATTTTTCCAAAAAAATTTCTCAAAACTTGTAAACCAAACAAGTTTTCCAAACAAATTTCTCTCTCACACACATCAAATCAATCACTTTTTCCAAAACTCTCTCTCAAAATAATTTTCCAAAACATCTTTTGAAAAAAACCAAACCAAACAACTTTTCGTACTTTTTATCTCTAAAACACATCTCTCAAACACAAACCAAACATACCCTAAATTTTTTAAGTAATTTTTTGACTTTTTGCCTTTTTTGATACATGCCAAACTTGACCTTAATATTTAATGTCAAAAGTAAAGATATAAATCAAAATTAAATGTCAATATATTAAATAATTTATAAATTATAGTTTAATTTTAAAATCATGTTAAGTATAAAACAAAAAATAAAATAAAAAATTTAATGAAAGGAGTTTTATCTTTGTAATAAAAGAAAATATTGTTTCAATTGAGGTACGGTACGGTTTAGATATATACTAAGGTCTCGTTTGCGAGCATGCTATTTTAATAAATTTTTAACTTTTTGGCTAACATATGAGTTAAAAAAATTAGTATGTTTGAAATGAATTTTTAATTTTTTTACAAAAAATTATACAAAAAGTAAAAAGAAAAGAGAATCTTTAAATTTTTTATATAACTTATAGATTTTTTGATTTTTTTAATAACTTTTTGACTTTTAAATTAAAATAGACACTTGTCAAACGATTACATTTGGGTACGCAAAAAATAAAAAATAAAAAAATTAAAGTTAAAATAGGCACTTGCCAAACGATTACGTTTGGGTACGCAAAAAATAAAAAATAAAAAAATTAAATATGTATTTTATATACTCAATACATATATAAAAGTATCATGTAAAATACCATACATCAATAAATATCTGTACGAATATCACATATTTTTTTTTGAAGTACCATGTTTCCTAGTTAGCCAGGAGGAACCTGGGGCATTACCGAGTAGCAGCTTTTGCCGCCAGACGCGCTGCATTAACAAAGCTCCTAGGAACTTTGATAATCCTGAAATAATCAAAAGAACTAGACATACATCTAATATCATCAACATTTCTTTTTATTTGTGAATTTTAATGTATAAAAGAAAAAGTACAATTCTAGTTTTTAGACTGAACTTGTAATTGATGCTTAAAACGCAATCTGTGTTTATAAATATTAATCTGGGACAATTAAATTATGAATTTTTATTGTTAAATTTCTTAATGATATAATTAGTTTTATTAAATATGTTTAAAATATTTAGGGCAAATTACCAACACCACTTGAAGTTTGACTAAAATACAGATTCCCCCTGAGATTTGAGAAATTACGGCTATGTTTGGAACGATTTCCAAACGGTGATTCTACCTCCATGTTCCAATATGATGTTTGGATAGAGATTTCGAACTAATTTTTCACAACTCAGCAGAAAACTCTGTGCGTGAGGCGCGATTTTCAAATTTTTTTTTTTTAAAATTTGGCCTAACCGGTCATCCCACCGGACATCCCACCGGTTGACCAGAAGAGTGCAAAATTTTTTTTTTTAAATTTATTTATTTATTTATTTTTACAATTGACATATTTTAATTTTTATATATTCGAAAAAATATTTTTCGAATTTAAAAAAAAAAAATATGTGTTTTAATAGAATTTTGAGTTGTATATTTGGTTATGAGTTATAAGTTTTTGTATCAAATATCAAATTTCACATCAAAAATTCGTCACTCAATTCAAAACTCTTTTCAAAACTCTTTCACCAAACAAATTTTCCACACTCAAATCATAATTTCAAAACTCACAAACTCAAAATACAACTTATACTCTCAAATCATAGTTAGAAAGTTCTACCAAACGCAACCTACAAATTGCCTCATGAAGTTTATATTTGCATAACAAATGAAGGGCGTCCCACCGGACATTCGACCGGTTGACCAGAACAGTGCAAAAAATTTTTTAAAAATTTATTTATTTATTTATTTTTACAATTGACATATTTTAATTTTTATATATTCGAAAAAATATTTTTCGAATTTAAAAAAAAAAAATTATGTGTTTTAATAGAATTTTGAGTTGTATGTTTGGTTATGAGTTATAAGTTTTTGTATCAAATATCAAATTTCACATCAAAAATTCGTCACTCAATTCAAAACTTTTTTCAAAACTCTTTCACCAAACAAATTTTCCACACTCAAATCATAATTTCAAAACTCACAAACTCAAAATACAACTTATACTCTCAAATCATAGTTAGAAAGTTCTACCAAACGCAACCTACAAATTGCCTCATGAAGTTTATATTTGCATAACAAATGAAGGGGCAATTTGTTATGCAAATATGTACCTCAAGGTGTAATTTGTTATAAAAATATAAATCTCTGGACCGAGATGTAAATTCTCAGATCTCAGGAAGGAATCTGTATTTTAGTCAAACCTCAATTGCCCAAATATTTAAGGTTTTGAACATGTTCATATTTGAGAATTTTTGTAATGTTCGGGAAAAATTGAAGAATTATTCAAATATATGGGATAAATTTAGGTTTTTAACCCAACAAGAAAATTCTTTTTCCATGATTTGCTTTTTCCTTCCCACCAGCTGCCTGAAAGAAAATTCTTCCCTGGGAAAATAATGAGAATGAATAACAAGCTGAACACAAAATTAACATGCATATTACATGAAACCAAATATAAGTTATGAGAGGGCGAGAGAGAGGAATTCACTAATATCAAAGGTTGAAGAAGCAAAGAACATTGAATTATTTACTCCAAGGACAACATTTCTGCAATTTATGATGAATAATACACTGCTTCGCATGTTTCATAGGCAAATAAAACTACATTCGGATAACAATTGCTCAGCCTTATCTTTTCTTTTCTTTCATGTAAAAAATAAGTAAAAAAAAATTACAACTTTTCATTTTCGTTTCACATCACACACAGGATCTACAGTAATCGGCTGCTTCAGACTTGTACACGATTAATCCCCAGATACATCTATATGCATAAACGTCAGAAGTATATGCTTCGCAATGCAAAAGCAGTTTAGCAGCCGACTGTTGGTCATACAGCATGCTTTAATAATTTACATTTGATGCTGGTGTTGGAACGAGATTGGTCAATTTTGTGTGTTTGTGATCCTCTTGGTATGTAAAAAGCCAAGCCAGCTAGAAAACGTAATGCTCCGGGTTGTGAGGTATATGATAAATGCAAGGTATGCAGCTGTAAAAGCAGATACTGCGGAGCTTAGTAACCATCCGTTTACTTCGGAATAGAAAAATTCCAGCAAAAGGTACCCGTTGATCACTATCACCAAGGCGGCCACGAGCCATGAAACCATCTACCAATAAAAAAGAAAAAAAGAGTAAATCCATAAAGTCATTCTCAGTTGAAAACTCAAGCTAGCATTCAAGTCAAGGGGGCGGGAAAAAATATTTCTTTATTTATTTTCACTTTGTGCTTTATGAGAACTATGAATTGCAACACAATCAAGGAACAATAGTGAAACAGACCCTGTACGTAACAATGGCAAACAGAGAGAGAAATATACAAGCATTGATTTAATCAACCATTGCCTCTGTGTGTGTTTTGCTTGTATTCTAAGCTAAAAGTTGATAATCTACAAGTAGAATGTATAAACACCTCCTACCAGGACAATCACCTTATTTAAGTTACTCTTACCGCATAAGCTGCTATAACAAACGGCTTGACACAAATTAAAAAAAAAAATAATAAGCAACCCATTTAATCTGCAGCAAATATCACCAAGTAGATACCATATCAACTTCAATCTTCCTACTCGAAAACAAAGAAAGTCAATCTGAATTTTTACTAAATATATCTGAATATTCCGCATCCTTAATGTTTATCCAAGGAATGATTCGTCTATCATTTTTCCATTGCTAGCAACAAAAGAAACATCAATGGAATACCAAACTTTCGAAGATATAAAATCACCAAAAAATAGAGATTGATCAACCTCACCAATAAATGTACCATCTATGCAAAAAGTCTATGTACTACATCAGTAGCAATGGAAGGCTTACAAACACATGGAAAATCAACTCATTCATTGACAATTAATAATTAAGAGAAATTAGCAGACAAATTCAGAAGAAGATATTGATATAGTCCGAAGGATTACATTTTCAAATTGTTTCAATATCAATATTTTCATGAAACTTTTTAATTGAATAAAGCTATAACCTAATCACTGTAATCTTTTTTGGAATGAATTGTCTCTTTTAGTCCACTAAATTGTAAGTAACAAATTCAAGATGATCTCAATGTAACAAGAATATGACATCACAGGAGTTATTAACAAATGTTAAAAACACTATTGTGATGATCATAAATGTACAGGCAAAAAAGACGATACAACATTTTATACACAAAAGTAGAGAGAGAGAGAGAGAGAGTAAAAAATGTACCTTGAGGACCGGGCCAATTTTGAAAATACCCATGACCTCCTCCTTGGATACCAAACAAAGAAGGGGAATAAGCGCAAAAGGGATCTGAACCGACTGAAGCACATTAAGCCATTCATTGAGAACATCTAACGAGTCCTCGGAGGTATCAAAAGCAAGAGCAACAATCATAGTCGGGATAATAGCACAACTTCTCGTTATCAAAGCCCTAAGCCATTTCTTCAACCGCAAATTCAGAAAGCCTCCCATAATAAACTGCCCAGCATAAGTACCTGTGAGCGTGCTACTTTGGCCAGCTGCTAATAAGCCAATGCCCCAAATATACAGAATTGGGAGTATCCCTCCCCCGTACTTCTCTTGAAGGTACTGTCCCGCATTTACGAGCCCAATACTATTGGCTATGTCAGTACCATAAAATGCTTTGGCAAACACGGCAGTAACAAATAGATTGATCATGAAAGAGATTGTGAGGGCAACAGTGGACTCTATGGAGTAGTAGTTTAGGGCTTCTTGAACACGACCAGTCTTGCACCGGTCAATCTCTCTTGATTGTACAAGAGCAGAGTGCAAAAATATGTTGTGAGGCATAATAATGCAACCCACAACACCCACTGCCTGTTGTATTGTTTTAGAGCTAAGTTTTGGAATTAAAAGACCTGCAAGGAGATCCCATTGCTAGTGATTTAGAATCAGAGAAGTTAAGGAAGGGTACATTGGTAATGTTTTTAGTTTTTGTAATGAAATTGATACGGAAAACTATCCAAAAATTGTCTTCGAGAAACTTTTCTAAAAACACCTTTTTCTCAAGAAGGCAAATGCTAACAAGTGTCCTCAAGCATTGTTTAGTGTTGGAATTGGAGTGAAATGCTAACAAGTGTCCTCAGGCATTGTTTTAGTGTTGGAATTGAAGTGAAAGTGTATGAGAAAAATGTGAAATGTCAAAAAGTGTTTCGAATTCAGTAAAAAGAAATTTGATTTCAATAAAAAGTGTCTCATATATATATATATATTGTGGGGACATATTTTCTGAATACCAACACGTGGCATGGTGACGCCGACGTGTCAGCCGAGGTGCCACGTGCCCTGGTAGTTAAGCCGAGGTAATCTCGGATAAGCCGAGGTCATCTCCGAAGATGTCGGAATCCGAAGATAAGGGACAAGAGTCCTGAAGCAAAGAGGGGACTTAATTAAGATAAGGATAAACCTCTTAGGGAGTTTATCTCTATCTCCTAAAGAGTCCAGAGTAAGTACTAAGATTGGGGTACACAGAAGTCATATTTCTAGTTGGACTTGGATTAAGTATATTATAAAAGAGAGGCACCCCCGTGGGTCTAAGGTATGTAATTCATACTTTGAGTATTCAGTTTAATACTTGATTATCCTTGAAAAACATACTGACTTGATCGTCGGAGTGCCCCCGGGTGGAAGAACCACCGCCGGAGCTTTTCCTTTCTGTTACAGGTTGTTGTAGCCATCTATTCTGCCGGTGCTTTGCTGCTGATCACTAAACGGGCAGTGTGGTCAGATTTTTACCCACACATATATATATATTTTTCTTTATGTCCTTTTCTTGTGCCCTGACGAGGCCCTTTATGAAACACCTTGAAATTGTTTGGCATTAAAATGAAAATGATGAGTGAACTTTTCATAGTTTTGAGAACATCAAAAAATGAAAACGACAGTTTTGAAAATGATACCAAAGAGTGTCAATCCAAAATAAAAGATTGGTTAGACTTTAAAAAAATTGTAAACTTGAGAAAGTAAAATATTCTCACCAAGAAGAAGTTCTACTCCATTGGGCTCTGTTTCACCAAACATCCAAGCAAATGACAGTGCCATCGTTGCAATAAGAACCGCAAAAACCGCTTCCAGTTTCCTCACACCATAGTTCTCAAGAAATAGAAAAATGAAACTGTAAAGAGAAAATGGACTCAAATTAGTAAAACAACTACTATGAACTAAAATAGTTTTTTTTTTTTTTAAAAAAAAAAAAAAAAAAAAAACCTTAGCTTAGTTTAGTTGTAAAACAAACAGTACGAAGCATAACAAAACTAAACTTCATTGTTTGTTCTCTCTCTCTCTCTCAAACACACACACTGATTGATATATTCATTTTCTAATCAACCAGACACAGGGTTATGTAACATTTCATTTATTAAAAAGTAAAAATGAAATGGAAGGTTTTGTTTTTGCTTTTGGTGTTTTAGGAAACAAAACAATGAAAAAATTGAAACTTTGTGCAAAAACAGCTTTCAAAAAAAAGTAAAAGAAAAAGTTTTTTTCCGAGGAAAATATGGATATTTGGGTTATTTTTTTGATTTTTTATGAAAAAATATGTAATAAAAAATTATAAAAATTAATTTGTAGGAAAAATTTAGAATTGGAAGTCGTGCCGCCGTAATTGTTAACTTTTGATAAATAGTGTTAACTTTTTAATTAACTTTATATCACTTTTTGACTTTTTTGCAATATGCCAAACTAAACTTCTCCAAAAATTAATTTTAGAAACAGGATTATGTTTTAACAACTGACTCCATCTTAGAAATTATTGAACTCATTCTCGAGCAGAGCTTAGAAAATTAGGTTTTAACAGTTGACTCCATCTTATCGAGATAAAAAAAAAAAAAAGAAAAAAAGAAAAACCAAATAGGATTTAACAATCCCAGTGAGAAAGAAATATACATATTGCAAGAATTGAAGAAAACAGAACACAGAAAATTATCAAAACCAAAAACCCATCAAAACCTCCAAGTTGAAAATTTCCAAAATCAACCACACCAACATTGAAACATTTGTATCAAATTATTATTCACAGAGAAAGAGTTTTCAGGAAATTACCAATCACAAGCAGTGATAACAACACCACCCCAAAGAGGAACAACCCCATTACTCAAAATCTTAATCGCAATCGCACTCCCAATCACTTCCTGAATATCCGCCCCAATCAGCGCAACCTCCGCCATCACCCACAACAACCACCGAGCCCATTTCGGGTACTCTTCTCTACACAGCTCTGCCAAGTGTTTACCCGTAGCCACGCCGAGCCGCGCCGCCAACAGCTGAACCAGAAGCCCCATAGCCGTGGCCCACAAAAGGAGCCAAAGCAGAGAGTACCCAGCAATCGCGCCGGCTTGAAGATCCCCCTCTAGGTTTCCCGGATCGAGAAACGCTATGCTCATCAAGAACCCAGGCCCAGTGAAGAGCCACAGCTTCTTCCACGAAAACGGCGGCGTTTTGGCCCAGTCGACGCAGTCATCATCGTTGATGCCGATGATGTGGACTTTCTCAGTGGTTTCGTAGGCTGTTTCGTCTTCTTCTTCTTCTCGTACCTCGTTTTCGTCGCAATCGGGTGGTCTGTTGGTGAGCAATGGTTGTTGCTCTTGGTTTGGCGGCATCGACCCTTTTTTCTTTCAGTTGGGTTGTTTTTGGGTGGCGGTGTGGTGGTGACAGTAGTGGTTTGTGGCGGTGGAAATGAGAGGAATTGTTGGTTTTTGATTTTGATAAGCTTTGGAGTTTGCAATTATGAGAACAACCAGTCCACTTCTCCACTTTCCCTTCCCTCTCTTATTATGTTCTGCTTGCGGTACAAGACTGCTCTTAATTTTATGAGTAAAGTTGGCATATTATGAAATTAATATGTAGTTATATCAATTCTATGAATTGTTTATTTTATATAATAAATTAAAAAAATATACATATAAAAAACTCAATTAATCAATTATAATATATTATAATAATATACATATAAAAAACTCAATTAATCAATTATAATATATTATAATACATTAATTGTTTATTTTTAAAAATATATAAATTATATAATGAAAATAATTTAACAGTATAACAATGGATATTAGATTAATTTAATTTTAATATAATTAAAATTTTTAATTAATTATATAAAATAAATAATTTAAACCATCAAATCTAAATTAATTCAATAATTAATTAATTTTACATAAAATTGGGATTTTTTATTTTAAAAAAAATCGTATTCAGCAATTCTCAGGCTCCACTGCCGGACCAGTGTGAATTGGTGTAGCATTTGGATATTTCTTTCCGTTATTTTGACTGAATTTAAGGGTATTTTTGTCAATTAAGTGATTGGATTTTTATTTGAAATGACCATAATAGCCTTGTTGTTTTTGACGTCGAGCACAATGATAGGTGCCTTGTGAGCTCTCTCACCTGATGGAACCCAACAAAATAAAACAAAAAAAGGAAAAATAAAAAAGAAGAGCAAATTATGCCTTTCACACTTATTCTTTCAAGGAATTGGCGTGGTTGCTGGGCAGGGTGTACAGCAGTTACTGTTGTGCAGCTATTTAGGTTTTTTTCAGGATCTATTTTAATAATTTAAACCGTTCATATTTTAGAATATGTCAAGTAGAACATATTTGTAAAAAATTAAGTTAATCAGATATCGTTTATCTATTCATTCACTCACATTTGTATCTACAAAAATAAATAGCAATTGCAATTAAAAGTATTAAAATGAATACAAATGTGAGTGGATGAATAGGTAAACGATATCTGATTAACTTGATTTTTTACAGGTATATTTTACTTGATGTATTTTAAAATGTGAACGGTTCGAGTTATTAAAATGGGCCCCGAAAAGAGTCCAAATGACTGCACAGCAGTGGCTGCTGTGCACCCCCGCACAACAGCCACACCAATTCCTTCTTTCAACCTTTCAATTGTCTCAATCAACCTTTTAAACTTTGAGTCAGTATTTTGTAAAGATAATAAAAAGTTAATTTCCGACTTTTTTAAGTTTTTTTGACTTTTTTAAGAGTTACTTTAGAAAGTTGGTAGTTACTTTTTACTTTTTGAGTTAATATTTATTTATGATAATACATCATAATAAAATAACCAAAATTTTTACCTAACTTAGGAAATTTTCTTTTTGACCCATGTGGCTCATTTGTCTACTTGTTAAAATGGGGATGGTAGTTATGTAAATTCACACTATATGTTTTGCAAACTTCCCAAATGTGTTCCAGCTTTTGTAGCTTTTATCTAGGTGGGTTTTTGAATGCAAAAACGTAGCGTTTTTGTGAGTCGTCAAAAAACCACATAATAATTTGATCCATTTATACAATGTCGTTTCATAAATTAACAGAAAATAGTCTCATTATAATATTAATTATGTTTAGCACTCTTTTATTTTTATCAAAAGAGAAAATTACAAATATATAGGACAGTGAGAAAAAATTTACACTACAAATAATTTTTTTGTGTGTGCAGTTCTGACACATAATAAGAGTTGCACCAATACAAGAATGAATTTGAACCATGGGTACAAAAAAATTGCACCAAAATATAATTTTTTTTCACTACTCCGCTGAAATGTAATTTCCCTTTATCAAAATCTCACTTGAGTTTATCCACTTTAGTCTTCAACATTTTCTTATTTTTATTAGAATTTCACTTTGTTTCTTTCACTTTAATTTTTTCAAATTTTTTTAAAATGATGTTACTCGATTAAGCCTCTGTTTGGGAAGCGGGTTAGTTTTTTGACTTTTTAACTTTTTTAGCTATTTTAGTCTGGACTAAAAAGTTTGGTTTGGGAATGATTTTTTAACTTTTTAGTTTTTTTGACTTTCTTGGTAAAAGAATAGTATAATGATTATGGGTTGAATGTGATATTTTATTTGTTATGACTAAAATAACTTATTTTATTTTTTATGACTAAAATAGCTAAAAAAATCTCGAAACCTTCTTTCGAAGCAGTGCTTAAACCAAATTGTAAGTCAACTCAAATATAAAGGGCTGACTGAAACAATCAAATGTCAAGAAATAAAGAAAGATCAAATGTAAAATACAAAAGTATAAATTGTAATTTGTAAAAAAAAAATTAAAAAAGGATATAACGTGGCAGCGGATGCCTCCCACTTCAATCAATGATTTTCTGTTCATTCAAAGCTTGGATATTTACAAATTTATGAGGGATTTGTTTTCTTCTCTTTTAATGTTGAAAAATTATTACATCTTCGTGTGATACTGTGATCTTGTTTACTTGATATTTTTGAGAAATTGCAAAAACAACAAAAGATAAGTTAAAATATCTCATGTATACAAATCTTTGCATGATTAGTTTCGAATATTACATAAATAATTTTGTATGGTGCTTTAGGACTATTAAATATTTACCCATTATTTAGGATTTTGTTTAAGTGGGTCATGAAGGTACATTTTTGAATAGGCATTCATTTCTTTAGACATAAATATAATAAAATAAAAATGTTACACGATCTAATTTTTTTTATGGATTGTATATATTAAGAGTTTTTCAAAATGAACGGTTCAAATTATCGAAAAGGGACTTATGGTGAGCCTATAAGTCCCTCAAGTCTTTTATATTAAGATATGAAAAATCCAATCCCAATTATACTTAACATTTTATATTTTTATCAAAATTTCACATGAATCTCTTCATTTTAGTCTTTTAACATCTTATACTTTTATTTAAATCTCATTTTAGCTTCTTCACTTTAATTTTTTTTGTCAATTTTTTAGACACTATTATTCAACTGGACTCAATTATAGCTTGACTTAAATAATTAAAATATTAGGAGATAAAAATGTAAAGTATAGGAGTATAAAATGTAATTGAAAAATGCTTGGGAGCACTAATTAGTGCTCCCACTAATTAGGTGGTAGTGGGTCCCGCCATTAATGATGTGATGTTTTGGCCTTGAAGTTGTATTTTTTTTTTTTTATACTTTTTTAATGCATTAGTGCTATTAGTGGTGATGTTTTTAGTGGGATGAATCATTGTTGAATGTAATTTGTTAAAAAAGAAGAAAAAAAAAAAAACGTGGCAGCCAATAACTCCCTCGTCAATCAATGATCTTCTGTTTAATTAATGCTTGGATATGTACAAATTTATGAGGGTTTTGTTTTCTCGTATTTTAATATTGAAAAATTATTACATCTTCCTATGATATTAGATGATGTTATTTATGTGGTATTTGTAATAAAAAATTGAGAAATTATTCAATAATTATGGGATACTTTGTGGCTATATCTCAAGTCAATCACCAATTACTTAGTCTTTTGTTGTTCTTCCATTTCTAATATAAATTGTGGGCTCATATCTCTCTCTACCAATCAAAATCTTATGAAGTATCACATGTCCATACTTCAGAAATGCTGAATAATCACCTTTAAAAATTGGAACAAGTTAGTGTCACTACAAAAAAATTGACTTTTTGCGACGGTAAAATACCGTCGCTAATACTCCTAATGCCGTCGCTAATACTTTTTGCGACGGTAAAATGACTTTTTGCGACGGCAAGAGGGGGTCGCAACTGCAGGGGTTGCAAAAGAGTTTTTGCGACGGTAAGTGCCGTCGCTAATGTTTTGCGACGGCATTTTTTACCTTTTTGCGACGGCACCGTGCAGTCGCTAATAACGTTTGAAATTTCTTGACTTTTTTGCGACGGCCCTATTTTACCGTCGCTAAAAATGTTATTTGAGACGGATCTTCTGTTTAATTAATGCTTGGATATGTACAAATTTATGAGGGTTTTGTTTTCTCGTATTTTAATATTGAAAAATTATTACATCTTCCTATGATATTAGATGATGTTATTTATGTGGTGTTTGTAATAAAAAATTGGGAAATTATTCAATAATTATGGGATACTTTGTGGCTATATCTCAAGTCAATCACCAATTACTTAGTCTTTTGTTGTTCTTTCATTTCTAACATAAATTGTGGGCTCATATCTCTCTCTACCAATCAAAATCTTATGAAGTATCACATGTCCATACTTCAGAAATGCTGAATAATCACCTTTAAAAATTGGAACAAGTTAGTGTTTTGTTTCTTAATTATTAAATAAAGATAAGTTAACAACATGTTTTGATATGTATAAATTTTCATGGAAAATGTTATAGGTTTTAAATTTTTTACTAAATAAATGATCAAATATCTCATATGGGTGTGGACTCCAATAAATTACACTTACACCCCTAATATTTGGATTTAATACATATCACCCCGTAGTGCCCCAAAATATAACCATAGATTCAATCGAAAAAATAAATAAATAAGGGGTACTTACGTGTAAGTCCTAATAAGTGGACTTATTGTCTAATAGGTCCTATAAAAAAAACTTTACCATAAAAAAAGTCACTAATTATAAGTTTTAGCGACAATTTATAAAAATCATGACAAAAAAAGTCCCTAATTGTCAATTTTTAGCGACATACATAAAAAGTTGTCATAAAAAATTATTTTTAACGACAATTTTACCAAGACTTATTTTCAGTAGGATTTGATGAGAATTAAGTCTAATTATTAGGACCTATTGATAGTTTACCCAATAAATAATTGCATGAATCAGAGTGCAACGTTTTTCATTTCATAGAGTTAATAGTACAAAAGAGTTTAACATAAATAAATGCCTCATAGGCTTACACATTTCCAAGCCTTGGCTTGGTTACAACAAAAATGAGACTAGCTCATACAATTTAAGCTCTAGGCTATACAAAAAGTGAAACAAAACAAAGAAGGTCTCGCTTCCCAAAAATCCCTCCAATGCTATTGCCTTAGTGGAGGCATGCCACCGTCACTTGAAAATGTTTT